AGGCCATGGCAAATCTGAGCCTTGCAAAATACCAGTCGAGTTTTTGAACCTCAAAAACCTGAAGGACTAGGATTTATCGGACAATCTTTTGGTGGGAGAATTTACCGGTGGAGAACCTCTCAGCAACTTTCCTCAAAGTTCTTTCACTGGAAACAAAGGTTTATGTGGGAAGCCCCCTTCTCCCTGCAAGTTTTGAATTAGTTTTTCTATCTCTACTGAAAATTCAGCAATCATAGAAGACATGTAATTGCTTAGTGTTTTCAAACATTTATGCCTAGGCCAGCTTCTGATCTGCAAACACTGATGCTACAGTCAACAAGATTTAAGTTTTTTTTTTTTTATAATCAAAACTGTCACGATTTGAATCCTGATTACGGTCATTGAAACTAGGATTTCAACACTTTACCAATAGATTATACGACTGCTGATAAGATCTAAGTATTTCATAGAAGATAAAAATGAAAACGTGAAATCCCTTCAAATGAGAGTAACACTCAGAACAATCTTTCATTACAACATTATTTTAACAGATTGTTAAGAGCAAATGAACGAGAAACATCAACATTCTGGCGTCACGTTTAACAAAAGCAACAATTTCTTAAGCCTTCTTGCCGAGGTAAATATAGAGTTTTCAGACTGAGTGTCATGATCAGGTCCTGGTGTGTCTCAATCCTATCATGACTGGCCCTGAGTAGCGAACGAAGTCTTTATGTTGGGACAGTGGTCTTGGAGCTGTGTGTGGGCATTTTAAGCACAAGAATATGTTGCTAATATTGTGTATAGGTGGTGTGAGCCCTAAACCCCAAGATGTGCGGGCAAGTGCGAGCCAGTGGGCAAACACCCTTAGAGCCAATTAATTAGTCGGGTATTGTCGGCCGAAGCTGTGTGTAGACCCCTTCAAGTGGGTTGGTGGAGCAACGAGTGGAATGCTGGAATTATGGTGACCAAGAGGAAGGTCACTAGGCCCTGAGTTGGGTGAAAAAATGGCAGTGAGAAGGCTGGGGAGGAAAGTGTCCCCATTTCAGATATTTTTACGATTTTTTATAGTAAGGTTGGAAAAACTCTTACGCTCTTTATAGGGGGACGACTGATGTCAGCTCTCCACCACTTCTTTAGCTAGTGGGCAAGTGGGGGCCTTGCTAGTTTGAAGTGAGCTACTCCTAGACACGTGGTGTCTATGTGAGTAGGCATTGTTGAGTCACAAGTGTAGCAGGATGTCTTTTTGGGTCATGATAAACTTAGGGCCGACGGGTCTCACATCACATCTTTGCGTTGAACCATAGGGTTAGGCATTAGCATTTGCTATGCCCTTCATTTCCTTTCATTGAGCCGGAAGGATCATGAAATGGTGTTTGTGTAGGAAGGACATCATCAAGCCTGAGGGATGAGTGGGCTAGTAGGCAACACGCTGCTAAACCCTTGTGGCCAATCGGTAGAGGGGTTCTGTAGTTGGGGTAGCACACCCGAGTCCCGCAAGCAAGACAAGTATGGTGTTGAGTGTCCATCATATGTGCGGGCAGCCAAAAATGAAGCCAAAGGCTGAGACCCTAAGAAATGAGTTTTGTGGGACGAGATGAGCCTAAAGGCTTCGAGCTGGCTACTAACCAGCATCAATATTGTGCTTACAAGATCTTGGCACAAAAGCTTGCGTAGATGCTAGTGGCCATGGTGTTGGGCTCTCACCATGCCAGAAAGCAATAATATTATTAGGAAAAAGGCTACAAGCCCCTATAAGAATTTGAGGGTTAGTGCTCAAGACCTTGATGCCTTTAGGTAGAGATGGATGCTCGAGGCCACCTAAGAATCGTGGGCTAATGAGTTTATTAGAGTTAGGTTCCTCCCATTAAAGTGTGACCCTACAGGGTCAAAGCCAAGAAAAGCTCATGAGTATGCAACTTAAAGGATTAACATTGAGCTGTCTATGGGAAAATAGACTCGCGAAAGGCTAACCTCGACTATGAGTAGTTTTGGTGTCATACAGAGGCATGGTTTCAGTCTAAGGAAGGCACAGCCCATGACATTTGGTATTAGAGCCATGTTTCGCTCAATTATAGGACTAAAACAACCCATAGTGTGGGCATGGTAGCGATAAACCGAAATGTTGCTAAGCTTAAAGAGAGTTATTGAGGTGCAATTATAATAATATGGCTATGTGGGCTCGAGAAGGAGCCATCGATGCATGCTATGGGAAAAATTAGCCTAGGTGGAAGGCCTTTGAATAGGTTTTTGAATGCTAAGCAAAAGGGCACGGGAGTCTAGCCTCATCTTGCAAAAGGTGTTGGCATATGCGAGCATACGATGCCCTTTGAAATAAAAAACCATGTTGAGACCAAAGAGTGAAACAAGCATACACCTTGAAATGGTGTTTGAGCAAGGCCATGTGGGACAAGATGCGTGTAGCCATGAGAGACATGAGTTGAGCTGATTGAGATTAATTGCTAATGCTTACACTTCTTGTGTGGTGTAAGTACCCTAGTGAGGGTATAAGCTGAGTATTTGGCTTCCAAGTGTGAAACCACTCTGTAAAGGCAAAAAAGTCTGTGTTGGCCGAAAAAAAATGCCTTATAAAATGTGGTGGTCAACGAATCATGATAGTTTACAGTTTAATGAAATAAGCAAGCAAAAATTGACCAATTGATAAGGCCTTGAGATGTGTGGGTCAGAGGACCGATTGAGTTAAGCAAAGCCGATGATTGGCTTTCGAGTTGCATCGATCAGTAAACTAAATAAGTTTGAGCAAGTAAAATTGAGCCAATTGGGATTTGATAAATGTTGGCTAATAGGATAGCCTTAATTCTGAATAAGTCAGTGGACCTCAAGTACCGAATAGGTTGGTGAACCTTAAGATTGAGCTAGTCAGGAGACCTTGTGTTTAAAGTGGATCGTGGATCTTTGAGCATCAAGTGGGCTTAGAGTTGCCCTTTAAGATATGCCCGAGGCAAGGCAAATGAGTTGTGGAACCATTATGGAGATGTGGTTGAGTGCAGAATCGAGTTGAGTTCGAGTAAAAGTGGGAAAGACTTGTGATTTCCCTGTGGAATTGAGCCAAGGTAATGAAGCCTGAGTTTGTTGAGCACTGTGTTTAAGTTTAAGATAAAGACTAAGTAGCACGCAATAAAATGCTACCACGATGGCAATTGGCCAAAGGGCCATATCTAGTGAGGTGACCTTAGAAGGGCCAAAAGGACCCAAGTTATAAGATGATCGAAGTGCTTAAATGCCATAATGCTAGGGTCTATTGTGGGTGGTGTCGCATGATATGGTTGACCTAAGCACCACGTCTAGAGGGGCGTATCAAAGAGTCAGTGCCATAAGTGTACAGTTGGTGTGATAGGTCACGTCCAGCAGGGCACACCAATGTGTGGCAAAGTAGGTGATCATTCATTCGACTGAAGGTCGTGATCAACAAAGGTACCTCAAGGTCGCAACATGATGTGATCATGGGTGAAACAGTGCAGTGGCATTTATCAAGCAAAATAGTTTAACTCTAGTAGTCATATGTAGAGATAGCACAGAGGTGCATTGGAGCTGGGATGAGACCCATCTACATTGACAATGAACGAGTATTATGGGTGATGCCTCATGTGACGGGATATCGACCTAATTCTTGAGGGCACAAGTGAGAGACATATAAGAAAATGTCAACTGCGTGCAATAAAACAGTTAGGTGTGGTCTTGGCATTGATGAGGGCATCGACATAGTAAATGAGAGAGAATGCCATGGTCAAGCTTTAGTGTGCCTCATGACTGGCCTTGAGTTGAGTAGCGAACGAGGCCTTGTTGTCGGAATAGTGATCTTGGAGTTATGTGCAAGCATTTTAAGCACAAAAATATGTTGTCGATATTATGAGTGGGTAGTATGAGCCTTAGGCCCTAAGATGTATGGATAAGAGCAAGCTAGTGGGTGAGCACCCTAGAGTCGGTTAGCCAGTCAGGTGTTGTCAGTCGAAGTCATGTACGAACACCCTTGAATGAGTTGGTGGAGCAATGAGTGGAATGTTGGAATTATGGTGACCAAGAGTAAGGTTATTGGGCCCTGAGTTGGGTGAAAAATAGCCCTACGATGGCCAAAAAAAAATGTCCTTATTTTAGACATTCTTACTGTTCCTAGTAGGAAAGCTAGAAAAGCTCTTACACTCTTTCTTAAGGACGACTAATGTTAGCTCTCCATCACCCTTTTAGCTAGTAGGCAGGCAGAGGCCTTGCTAGTTTGAAGTAAGCTACTCTTAAGCACATGTGGTGTCTAGGTAAGTAGGCATCATCGGGTCTAGAGTTGGCAACCTAACCTGAAATCGACGGGTTTCGATCCGATCTGACTACATAAGGTCGAATTTTTTTTTTTTTGAAAATCAAGTTTCAAGTCGAGTCGAATCAGGTCAAGTTCGGGTAAGAATCATGGGTTAATGAGTTGATGGGAGTTGAATTCCTTCCCATCGAGGTGTGACTCTACCGGGTTAGAGCCAAGAAAGGCTCATGAGTACGTGGCTTAAAAGATCAACATTGAGCTGTTGATGAAAAAATAGACTCGCAAAAAACTAACCTCAACTATGAGTAATCTCGGTTCCGCACGAATGCATGATTTCGGTCTAAAGAAAGCGCAGCCCGTGACACTGAGCCTATGAGCCAAGCTTAACAGGATAGGAGAACCTGTAAAGCCGAACTTTACAAATTGACTGTAACAGAGAAGTAGCAGAATCTCAAAGGGCGTATCTTTGGTCTCTTTTCTTTTCTTATCTGTTTTCTTATCTATTTCTTTTTTGTTTAAATAAATTCATATGACCATATCTTTCTGTTAATACAAGTTATTTGTGCATATCTCATCAAAAGGCATGAAATTTGACCAAAACCCTCTTGGATTGCATTTGTTACCATAAACATTGAGCACCGCAGCAGTAAACGTAGGCTTTAAATGTCATCTGAGTCGGGAAATAAGCAGACTTGTCTCTGGCTAAGGGCTATTGAGTTGAGATATTCTAGTACCAACAAAGAAAGCGCGGAAATTTCTCAGAAATTAGCCTTTTATTAAATCATAGCTATAAGCATTACAACATTTCAGCACTTCAATCAGTGGACTCTTGACACGAGCCTAGTTGGTGGTAATTCATATAGTTAATGCCGCTTAAGCATAAACAACATAAGATCTGTTCCGGCAATTCTTCAGGTTTATTCCCCTGTTTTAAAGGCAAACATCAGATGTGAGTAAATGACATTAGAAAAACAGTCCAGCATCCCAAAAATCCAACAATCTTGCTTGGGAAGAGGGGGAGGGGCATCTTGAAGTTGGGAGGAGATATTGGAACTTGCCTGAATGGTGAGGCCAACATCTAAGATGCATAGCTTTAGCCTATCCAGGAATGCATCAAAACCTTTCCTAGAGATGTAACTGAATCTGTGCATATCTATATCAATCTCAAAATAATTCTTTCCCTGCAAATATGGATTTGTGTAACAGGTGAGCCTAAGAAAGAAATCATATTGAGATAACGTATCTTTACCATTCCAATGCTACCCAAACTTGCTCCCAATAGAGCACGTCATTCAATATCAGTAAGTAAAAATTCATTTTATAATGCAATATTTTATAACTGCTTAATCAGCAGATGGTTGGAGTGTATAATTCTAATTATATAATTAAGCTAACTAAAATTATTAAATACATTCATATCTTAGAGATATGTTTTATATCTCTACCATGCCCCAACCTTTAAAGACAAAAATTCATATACTCTAATAAATTATTAAATAAATTCATATATTCTAATAAATTATTAAATATTTTATGGTTGGAGTGGTCTTACCATGCCTCAACCTTTAAAGATAAGTTCTCTACTATCTATATACACATACTTTAATAATTTTTGGTTAGCTTAATTATATAATTAGAATCATACACTCTAACAACTTAACCCTTCCGCGCCCCACCTTTACTTATCTATTTGCTTTCTTTTGTGGGGATGGGACTGGATTGTTCAAGGATGGTTGGGAGCTATTGATGGTCCCGCCCAGCCATTGGACCAGTAAGGAAAAAAGAACTAGTTTTAAACAAAGGAGCAAGTAGAGACGTGGTTAAATCTTTTAAGAAGCCACGTAGATGGCAACAGGCTCACTCTATGTCAATGGGGTTTCCAAACAGTCCATCACATATCACACATTATCAACCCGGAAATACAAATAAAACTGCTCATTGCAGGTATTTATGACCTTCAGCTGTAATATATGAGATGGCTTAGATGGAGATGCCACTGCTATTTTTCAACAGTAGCCACAAAATCACACATAGAAAATTGTATTTAGAAATGAAAATATTAGTTGAACCCTAATTTCATGTAACATATATTTGGAATAATGAAACATAAATACATACCAAGTAGAACTCATGCTGTGGACGTGAAAGAAAAGGCTTTTCATTATACGCCTGCATAAGCTTCCTCTCTGCTGCACCCATATGAAGATCTTCCACATTTGCTACTCGGCCTAATATTTTCAACCTTTCTCGAAATGGGACAATTGTATCTATAGGGAATCCTTTAACCTTTTCAACTTCATCGTCAATTAACCTCTGTTTTAAAATGAAATACAGATCCAATATAGTAAACTTGGTTGTAGATCAAATAATAAAGTAGGGAATGGATACATGAAGATATTACCTAAACATAAAGGGGCAGAGACAATCTAACAAATGCTTCAAATATATAAGCAGCATTGGCAAAATGAAAATGGTAAAAGCTAAAACCTTATGGCAAGTTAATTAAGGTTGTAATCAAAACATTATGAGTGGAGACTATTATTGCATCTCTAATTGGTTTATGGATTAGTGTTGTAGCGGCATAATCACCTAAGAAAATGGTAAAAGCTAAAACCTTATGGCAAGTTAATTAAGGTTGTAATCAAAACATTATGAGTGGAGACTATTATTGCATCTCTAATTGGTTTATGGATTAGTGTTGTAGCGGCATAATCACCTAAGAAAATGTCCTTTGACTATTAGAAAGGATGATATTGACATTTAAATTTAGCAAGTATCCATCATACCCTGATGTTTTCTTGAAAGTAAGGCGGAAGCTCCTTCAAGTAACTATCAGAAAGCTTAAAGTACAGTGCAAAACTCATCCCTTCCCCATTAGTTTCACTCTGAAAAAGTGCTGCAGGATACAAGGGAATCTGCATAGCCACCAAATATTAGCATTAAACTCCACGGAAAAAAAATGAATAGTCTTGAGATTTTTTTTTCATGTGGCATGGAGAGTCCACCTCATGATAAAACAAGATTTATAATGTTAAATCAGATGAGCAACAAAGTAAAATCTATAGAAATGCAAAAATAATAATGATAAATTGCACATGACAAATTTTGCACTATTTTAGAACAAAATGAAAGGGGAAAAAAGAAAAGTTGAGGAAGGCTCAAGAATCAAGACAATTTTGCCATGTAATGGAAGTAATTAGTTGCACTAAGAAGCGAATAAAGAGCACGTTGGAGGCATAAAAAGGTCGAGAAAAACCAGTACATTGTACTTCCATCCCATGGAAAATAGAACAAAAAATAACAAACACACATCCATTCAGAAAGAGCAACTGTAAAGGAGAGATACCTGAACATTTACAACAAGGATAGATGGTAGTTTCCCAGAATGGCTAATAACGGGGAGTTCAACAAATCTAGCTACGTGATCTATTTTTCGTGGAGATAAGAATACATCAACACCAAAAGGATAATATGCAGCATGGTTAGGTGCAAAATCCTTCTTCTTATCCCTGCCAATTAAACAAATAGTTATCAATTTAAGTGAGAAACAGTCATGGCAATAAGAGATCCACCCATTTGAGGTCCAAATCAAAAACTTCTAAATGACACATACATGCTTTTGCTTCATAATAATCAATAATTTTGAGTAAAGAAGAAAATTCACACACAAGTTAAAGCAATCAATCAAGGACAGAGTTTTACAGCCATACCTAAAATAATTTTCTCCTCGAACCTTGAAAGTACCAGGCTCAATATGAGACCAACAATCAAACATTTTCTTTTCTATAGGGCAAAAAGGTACTTGAGAGCCAGCTTTTGGTCGGTGAAGAAGCATCTTCGAAGAAACTGAGTTAAATAAGGAAAAGAATAAATTAAAAAATTCTAACAGAAGAACTCCCATTCTTATGCTACATTGCTGCTTTCTAAAAGGCTCCAGATGCTAACAAGCATCAATTAGTAAACAGCCAAAACAGAAGCAACTGGTTTTGCTTCAGTATCCTCATATTCCAGTTTTAGATGATTGCATGAGAAAACTATTCTAGTATCTTTGCTCAAGTCTGAGAAGATAAATCTAATCAGAGCTCCCACATCATCAAAACTCATCCCAGCTTCGCTGAAATCCATTTCAAATGGTTTCATCAGTCTCGTAATAAGACATTTCAATAAGTTTATGATGATGATGATGATGACTACAGATTGGAAAGTTCAATGGATAACATAGACACTCACATAGGGTGGCATTGGTATGCTCTTCTCTCCATTTAAATGAAAGTTTTAACGCAGTCTTTTTCCTTGCACATGGTGGGCTAGAGCTGAGTGATCTTCTCTTTTCAACTGATGGAACAGTAGATGCAAGACAAGGTAAACAATTGCTTGGAAGAATGCCACAGTTATCCAACAATCCATCCTCCCTTCCAAAACCTTCATCTACAGATGAGGCAATATCATCAAGGAATACAGGTTGCTTTGCTTGATTTGAAGGCCCATCAGATCTTGATTGGGAATTAACATCTTCTGAATACAAGACCTGACTAATTGAATTTCTGATGGCCTCACTACCAGAGTTGCATGCAGAATTACCAGTTGATAAATCCCCTGGTTTCTGCATCTGATCAACTAAAGCAGAATGTTCTCCACAATTAGCATCTCTTTGAGATGAAATACTGGATACAGATACACCTTCAAGACCATTTAAAGACAACACATCTGCACATATGGATGCATAGGTAACCAATTGTAACCATTTCAGATAATCCTCGAGTACAAAGAAAGTTAGTTTAAATGAGAGCTTTATGAGTAATATCACTAAGTATCATACCCTCCTGAACGCTTTCAAACTCCTCATCACAGTCAGAGTCAAATACTGCAACTGGATCAAACCACAACTCCTCGATTCCTGCCAAAGTTGCATCATAAAAACATCAGCTATTCTGCTTGAACTAAAATGAAACTGTTCTAGTTGAAATGCTGTAGTAATGCCCATATTTACACTACTTAAAACATCAGCTATTCTGCTGAAACTAATATAAAAACTGTTCTAGCTGAAATGCTGTAACTATCCCCATGCATAAGCATAACTTTGATAACATGACAAAGCGTACAAGTAAAATCATAAAACAGGGATAATTATTGTCCCAATATATTAAAACAAGGTCATTACCCTGCCATGATCCTATCAAATTAGGGTCCAGGGAAAGATTTTCTAGAGCACGCTTTTGGCTCCCAAGTCCCAACTTAGCAAATGCCAGATTTTAAATAGTATTAACATAGAAATGAGAACCACGAGAAAAAAAGGTAAATAGATTGGAAGGAGTTATATATCCAAATGGAAAAACTTATTAATATTAACAAATTAAAGATGAAAAGAAAATCTACTGCAAGGAAAAAGATATATCATAGAAAGTAAACAATGAAGAACCACAGTAGTACATCTATTAACCAAAGGAAACATTCTTTCAAATTTTAACTAGTTTAACAAGTAATTCACAGATGCCAAGATGCAATTTTAATACATATAGATTAATTCACACTATTGTTCCTAGTTCTTATAAATAAGAAAATCAACCAAATATGCATAACTATCCATTATGCTTGAACAAGCAGAATTCCAAATTAAAAAATTGATGACCTAATATAATGGTAAAGCAGGCACCAGAACTGTAGATTCTATAAGCATAACAGTCTTCCAAAGTCTAAAAAAGAGAAGTCTGGTAACATTAAACAAAAAAAGAGAGAGATAGAGTGGATGTGATAGATTTTTTACATACCAAATCATTGTGTATGATGCAGCATATCATGAGAGCAACGATGGAATGATATAGAATTAAAGTAATGAAGAAGGGAATGTGAAGGGGCCAAAAAAAAAAGGGGAAAAAGGCCACCAATGTTTACTATTTTTTTCTGTAATCCAGGGTCAACAATTCCCATCTTGAACTCCTTGCAGCTTCTACCTCTTCAAATTAAATATAGCATATGTATTAAGCCTCTTACACTAACATTTAAATCTTACCACACAAACTATAATCCATTCCATGCTGTTAACTCAACAGGACAATAAAAGTAAAAATTCTGACGCTATTATCTTGATAAGCCTATAATTTACTCAAAGGTCTATAATTTACCCCTCATTCAAGGGACATCAAAAAATTATCAAATCTCCAACTCAAAGCTTATATGAAATTGAAATAATAATCTTAGCAACAACCATTGTCGTCCTGAAACCACCAATGAGAGCAGTGCAGCAGCTGTAGCTCCAACTCAATCAAACTCCACCCAGCTTAATTGAATATGCTACAGATTTAATCCTCAATCTACTAAAGCTTAATACAGTGGCAAATTAAGATCTTTAAGGGATCAAAGAAGAATTAAAAGTGAAAGCTCCCAATTCTGCTTTTTTATTGATATCTTTTTACACTTTATATTGTACTGGCAAATAGGAAGTCAATTCTACCCGAATTTAGCTTTCAATTTTGGCTAGGGTCAAAATTCTACCTTATCGATCTACATTCCCTCCGATCATCAATAAACACAAAGAGCAACAATCTGTATCAAATTCCCAGTGTTGGGATATGCTCAGACTAAAAGCTTTGGGGAAAAATCAGATGCCAAATGATCGTCAAAAGAGTAGGTCACCACCATCACATTTAACAACAAAAAATTCACCTTGGTAAAAAGAAATAGCTACTATCACGGAAGTGTTTAACCTATACTACAGGCATGCATTTCCAGGTAACACGAAAACCAGACTCGGACTCTTAACCACCCAAAACCTTCCATGCAACTACCAAAACCATCCAGCCTCCATAACCCATCAAGGAAATCAACCAGAAAATGAAAATCCATAAGCACATTGCCAAACAGAAGGCTAAATAAAATTAAAAACAAATAAAAAAAGACAAAAACCAACTTTGGATAACAGAGAGAGAAGAGGAAGAGAAGACCTTGAAAAGTTGGGTTGGTGAAGGAAGAGTGATGATCAGGTGGAGCAGACGACTTATCAACCTTATCAGAGGATGCCTGGGATAGCCGAGAAGACACTCTTTTCTTGAAGCTTTTCCTTCCCTTATGGTCCTTCTTCTTTGAAGACCTGAACTTTGGGCCAACACAGCCTTCAGGTCTTGACACACAAGACCCCATCTCTCTCCTTCTGTTGCTTAGCAGATCAAATTCACCTCTCTATTATATCACCATCTTCAAAAAGGGCAAAAACAAAAGAAAGAAAGAAAGAGAGAGCGGAGTTTTTTTTAGAGAGAAAAGAAAGTTGAACAAACAGGAGAAGCAACATCAATCTCATTAACAACGGCAAGCAAAAACTAGCATTTTTTTTTTTCTTTTCTTTTGGTGGGAGAGTTTCACAGTAATAAAAATAATAAATAAAGGAAATTTTTTATTTTGTTTTTGTCAAAAAAAAAAGCTTAACATTTTATATAGAGAGAAACGCCTGCGTCTGCCGAAGGCATCTCCTTATTATTATTTCAATGATCTGCTGCTATAATTTTGCTGAAGGACCCACCACAGAAGTTAAAACGTATGCCACGTGGCAGATTCTGGTTAGGCGATCGTGTGCGAAGTCTGGCACAGGTAGGAGAGTTTCGTGACCTTTGCTACTTTTTGGGATGTTGCTTGATCAATGTTCATCGTCCCATTGTGTCTATAACTCACGCTTGCTTTTTTTTTTTGTGGGCCTGTTTTTGTTCAAATTTGTTCACATTTTCTCTCTCAGTTGTATGTATTTGGATTTTTGCTGTATGTCCAGTACAAACTCCCAAAACATGAAAAACATATGTCTGGTCATCTATTCTGAGGTAAATTTTTCTCTTTCGGGTATGTCAATTACAATGAGCATTAGGATGAGGTTGGCCAAAAGTATTTGACTACATATTTATTCGCTATGTCATTGGCCTTTGGCCAAAATAGGTGATGTTAATCTTTGACAGGTTGGTGCTAGTACAACTTTGAATTGACTATTGAGAATTAATAATTCAAATAAATAGTGACAGCTAATTTGATTGCATAGATATCTTTCTTTCTTGGATTGCATTTGCAGGTTAGCCATTGGGCGGCAATACGTGAAAGTTACAGTAACTAGTAGCAATAAATTTCACCTACATAACACGTCAGTGAACTCACGCGTTTTTGTCGTGCATCAATATATATTCAGTTTGAGAGACTCAATTTAAGGTTGCAAAAAGTCAAATTACTTGTAAATTTTTTTGGGTTTCATTTAAAAAAAGAAAAATTAAGTTTAACTTGTCCAGAGCGAGTTTAAATTACTCGGGTAATAAGTTAGGTTGAATTCGGATAATTTAATATTCGTTTTAAAAAATTTATGAGTTTAATTAAATAATTATATTTTAATATATTTAATACATATATAAATATATAAATGTAAAAATAAATTATACAAAAAAATTCAGATATCATTTTTTAAAAATAATTATATGAATTAATTAGATTAAATTTAGAATTCTTACTTATCATTTATATATATATATATTAGCATTATACCCGGGTGTTGCTACATTTCCAATTTTTTTTATTTATAATTAATAATGTTAATGATAAATTTAATAAATCAATGAATATAGTTTTATTTATAATTTTTTAAAATAAAAGTAATAATTAATGAAAATTTATCAACTAATTTGTGAATAATGTATGCATTTCATTCTTATAACTTTTATAACACATCAAATCTAAATCTACTTTTTCAAATTCAAGTTTACAAATATAGTTTTAAATATTACAGTAGATAATTAAAAAAAATTTTTAAGAATACCAAAGTAAAAAAAAAAAAAAAAAAATAGAGTGGCACACAAATACTTCCATTAAAAGATAGAAATTGACTGGGTTCAAGTAAGTTTATGCTCACCTCGACTTCTACCTGTCATATTTATAATTCAATTCGACTCTAATCTCAACTTGACATTGAATAATTTTTTATAGTCAATATCAACTTGATACATATATTTATGACTTGCATCCGACTTGCATTAGTCCAAAATTAATTAAATGATTTAAATTTAGTATAATATTTATTAAAAATTTTTAATATAAATTATATTTTAATTATGTATAAATATAATATTTTTATTAAATTAAGATATTAAATAATGATTTTATTAATATAATATATAAAAATATAAAATTAAATAAATAATAAAATATATTTTTTTATCTATACTTAGATCAGGGCATAACACATTAAACCCACCTCCGACCGTAGCTCTATTTATAAAAAATCAACCTAATCTCGAATTTAAAAAAATACACTTATGAGGCATTTGGTTTGGGATAATCTATGCATTTTTCCCTGAAATCTGACCGTTAAGTATTTAATTCTAACGTTTGATTTAAGGTAATTTAATTTCGAGGGAAAGTGCTAAATTTTCAACAGTACCCAAAGTTTCGAAATAAAAAACTTACATCTCCTTGTGGTATTTTAGGATTTCAAAAGAAAAAATTATGTTATTTTTTAGTTTGACTTGAATAAAAAATTATAAAATAGCCGTTATTATTTTAAAAAGTATATTTGAAAGTGACTGCAAATTAGTTATAAATTTTTGTTATTAAAAAAAAATTTTTTATATTGCAATTAATGACGTTTGGCATGAAAAACACCTTAAATAATCTTGTTCAATTTTTTGAGAGATTATTTAAGGTGTTTTTTTATCAGAAAATACCTTAAATAATCTCTTAAATAAAGTAATTAATATTATTTAAGGCTTTTTCTAATAAAAATGCCTTAAATAATTTTATTCAAATTTTTGTGAGATTATTTAAGGTGTTATGGCCAGATAACACCTTAAATAATCTCCTAAATAAATTGACTAGCATTATTTAAGCCGTTTTCTGATCAAAAACGCCTTAAATAATCTCGTTCAATTTTTTTTAGTCAAAAATATCTTAAATAATCTTTTATAAAAAATTGTACGATGATTATTTAAGGTTTTTTTGCTAGAAAATGCATTGAATAATCCTATTTAATTTTTTAAATGATTATTTAAGGCATATTTTACCCAAAAAGGCCTAAAATAATCTTTTAAAAAAATTTGTACGAAAATTATTTATGGTATTTTTTGTCAGAAAACGCTTTGAATAATCTCATTCAATTTTTTTAAAGATTTACTTAAGGTTGTTTTTCACTAAAAAATGCCTTAAATAATCATTTGAAAAAATTTATGCGGGGATTATTTAAGATATTTTCAGCTAGAAAACACTTTAAATACTCCCATTAAATTTTTTGAGAGGATTATTTAAGGCATTATTTAACCTAAAATACCTTAAATAATCCTTTAAAAAATTTTTAATATGATTATTTAAGACATTTTCTATCCAAAAATACCTTAAATAATCTTTTAAAAAAATTTGTACAGGGATTATTGAATGTATTTTTTGGCCAAAAAACACATTGAATAATCTCATTCAATTTTTTGAAGGGATTACTGAAAGTATTTTCTGATAAAAATGTCTTAAATAATCCTTTAAAAATTTTTGTATAGGATTATTTAAGACGTTTTTTATTAAAAAATACCTTAAATAATTCTTTTTAATTTTTAGGAGATTATTTAAGGTATTTTTAGGTACAAAAACATCTTAAATAATCTCTGTAAAAATTTTTTTAAAAGATTATTCAAGGCTTTTTTGACAAAAAATCGTCTTAAATAATCAAAAAAAAAATTGAATGGGATTATTTAAGGCATTTTCTGACAAAAAATGCCTTAAATAATCTAATAAAAAAATTCATCAATGGTTAAGATATTTTTGACCAGAGAACGCCTTAAATAATCCTGATAAATTTGGAATAAGATTGTTTAAAGCATTTTTAGCCAGAAAACTCTTTTAATAATGCCTTAAATAATCCCTAAAAATATTGAAGATGATTATTTAAGGTAGTTTTACTTAGAGAACACCTTAAATAATCCCTAAAAAAATTGATAAAGTTTATTTAAAGCATTTTTAGTAAAAAAAATGCTTTAAATAATTCAATTATATTTTATAATACAATTATATCAATTTCTTTTACTCAATAAAATATTGAAACGCCTCATTTGTTTATATTTTATAAATAAAAACATTATTTAAATAAAATATTTGTCTTCTTTTGTTACAAAAAGGCATAATTTGTCATTTGGTTATCAAAATTTTTAATAAAATATAATGAAAAGTTACCATCATATATGTTAAGAAGATTATGGTAATTATTTAAAAATTATTATGTGTGGATTTCCCCTAACTAAATGAGTGAATCCAAAAATGGGATGCCATGAAAATGAAAAAAAAAAAAACTCGGGTATTGTACTTTTTCAAAAATCATACTTTTATCTGGAATCATGATTCCATGAACCAAATGCCCCCTTATAGGATTTGGGTAAATTGAAATCCATCTGATATTGATTGTTTTGTTATTTATACCTTTATCGATTTTTTTTTTTTACAAATTTTATCTAATTAAAAAAATCATAAACAAAAAAAATGACAAGGAAAAAAAGCTAAATCTCCATTACGCTTCAAAATCTATAATGTATTAATTTCATTCTTTTAACTTATATAACAAATCAAATCCAAATCTAATATGTCAAAATTATTTTTCCATACATAGTTAAAAATTTAATAAAAACAATTAAAAATTAAAAAAACTAAAACTTAAAAATTAAAAAAAAAAAACCTAAGCAAATTTGGGATATCCTGTGAACATTTCCATTTAATGATGGTAATAGGTTAGGCAGGAATTGGTTTATGCTTGTACTGACTACAACCCATATCAAATTATTATTTTTTTATACCTGACCATGAGCTTATATATATAAATAATATTAAATAAATAATAAAATATGTTTTTATACATACTCCTAAATAGGGTGAGGTGAAGAACCCTAAATTCAATTTTGACTTGGCCTCGATTTCTGAAAAGAAAAAACTGTTCCACCCCAACTTGTTTCCAATTAAAAAAATATATCTTTATTGAACCAATGGGTTGAGACTAGATACAAGTTGTTTTGACATTCCTATTTTTATTGACTCATTTTTTTACAAAATTTATCTTATTAAAAAAAAAAAGAAAAAAAAAAGAAATAGAGGGAAAGGAAATGAAAGGCTGAAAAGAAAAAAACCAAATAAGGGTGCTATGTGAACACCCATCCATCTTTTAAAAAATATATAAGAAATACTAAAATAAACAATTAAAGAACAAAAGAAAATGAAAAAGAAAGAGAGAAAAAATGGGAAAGGCCTAAGGAAAAAGGGGAAAAAAAAAGATAAATGAAGGTGTCACATTAACATTTTCATTTAGGGCTAAAAACGGGTCAGGATATGCTATGCTTACATTGACTTCGAATTAACTTTTTAATAAATGCAATCCAACTCCATTTATGATCCAACATTGAGTTATTTTTTTTTATACTTAATCCTATCCAACATATATATATTTATATATATATATAATTTGCATTTAACTCGAATTGA